CAGGGAAACTCGGTTTTTCAGCTGGTGGGCCTAGGGTACAAGACAGAAAGCCTTGGCCGGAGCCCGGGCGAGCAGAAGCTGCTGGACATGATGTATGGGCGCAGGGGATGATCAAGTACGCGCCTCAACTCATCCTGCGAAACGATAGTTCACTATGTTACATGAACTCAGCTTTTCAGGTGATCACTTGGCAGATGGAGATTGTTCCACATGCGATGCTCTCCATGACCGGGTCAGGTGTAGATCTTTTTCTTCGTGCTGCTCAAGGTCAGCTTACAACTCCTATTCATATCACCAAGGATGCAGGATGGATGGCCATGCTTGCAGAATGGGAAGAGGTACATATGCAACACGACGTCTGTGAATTTATCCAGTTCCTCACCACAAAGATTGACTTCCCCATGTTTGCAGGCACATGGCAGGCACGATCGCCTACCATGGCACCGGGGCTAGGTCCAATGGACCTGGGGTCATGTGCTCAGCCCATTGTGCTTCATCCTCCTTCCAAGATGAGAGCTGGAGCTTTCATCAGGATACAAACAATGGTGGATGAATGGCATCGATGCGTGGACCGATTCCATGGTTTACATGTCATTCCCTCGGTCATCATGTTTCAAGTACATCGTTTTCATAGAAAACAAGGCCGTCTCCATAAAAGCCATGCGAAGGTACAGATGGATCCCATCATTCGGCTACCCGCTTTCACAGGAGACAGGCATCAATGTGCGCACCATACATTTGTGCTGACAGCATTCATTGAACATCACGGACAATTCCCCACGTCTGGACACTACACTGCTACCTTGATTCAGGGTGATCGCAGCTGGACGTGCAATGATGGGAGGGCAGCAAAGCTTCAGTCGGCAGTCCAGCTCGCACAAAGTAAAGCCTGTTATATCCTCTTCTATACTCATGTGAACTCCGTAGCAGCTGAAAGCTGCTAAACACTGGGACAGTGCATATGCTTTTCAGGCTCTTAGGAGCGGTGTGCGCTGCTACTCGACTTTTCTTACGAGACGGCAAAATTGCCGGGAGTGAAAAACTCCAGGTATCTTGATACCTGCTCAATCCCGACGCCTGGCGACAGACCTCTGCGCTGCGTGGAATGCTCAATGCTACTACTACTACTACTACTACTACTACTCCTACTACTACTACTACTACTACTACTACTACTACTACGACGATGCCAACGACAACAGCAGCAGCACCACCACCAACAACAACACCACCAACCACAACAGTCACAACAAACCACAGAAAGCAGCAACCGACAACAAGCGCTACCACCACCAACAACAACAGCAGCAACAGGCAACAAACAACCAGCACCAATCAACAAAAATTAAAACAACTGCAACTAACAACCAACTAGCAACAATAAGCAGCAACAAACAGCAACAGACAGCAACAGCAAGCAACAACCATTCAATAGCAAACAACGTCAGCAACAACAACACACAACAATGAGCAACAACAGCAGCAACAACAGCAACAACACGCAGCATCCAGCAACACGAAGCAACAACAAGCAACGGCAGCAGCAATGCAGCAAGAATACCAACAAGAACACCAAGAGCAACAGCAACAGCAACAACAGCAACAACTTCAACATCACCATCACAAAATCAACAACAGCAACAGCAACGGCAACGGCAACACCAGTAACAACAATAGCAGCAGCAGCAGCAGCAGCGGCAGCAGCAGCAGCAGCAAAAGCAGCAACAACAGCAACAACCAAACAGACAACCACAAATACACTACAACTAGAACAGCAACTACTACCACCACCACCACTGCTGCAGCTGGCGCTGCTGGTACTACTGCCACTACTGCTACCACCACTACTGCTGCTGCGACTTCTACAACTACAACAACAACAACAACCTGACAACAACTAATACCACGACTACTACTATTACTCTCACTACTACCGCTGCTGCTGCTGCTGCTGCTGCTGCTGGCGCTGCTGCTACTACTGCTACTACTCCTATTACTGCTACTGCTGCTACTGCTGCTGCTGCTACTACTACTACTACTACCACTACTATTGCTACTACTACTGCTACTGCTACTGCTACTGCTACTGCTACTGCTACTGCTACTGCCACCACTGCTACCACTGCTACCACTGCTATCACTGCTGCTACTGCTACTGCTACTAGTTCCCAAGGATAAAAGCCGTTGCCCTGCCGGGGCGACATCTACCGGAAATAAAAGCCACCGAGCTTTCATTCTCCATGCCTCCGGCCATCAAGTTGTTATGGTTTCGCGATCGTCTGCCTCATTGTGGAATGTGTGTGTGTGTGCCATTTCGCTGACAAGATTTCCGCGATATTTGGACGATGATCACGAGGAGACGTTGCACACGGTTATTCGGCTTGGGCCCAATTCGGGTTAAGGGCAAGAACGAAAAACTATTTAGCACCCGTCAATCTGTATCTTATCTGAATCCCAAACTTTTCTTTTCAATTGCAACTTGTTATTATATTCACTGTTCTATTCAAAACTGTCAGTGCTGCTTCACGAAAATCAGCATTCACAGCTCAAGCTTCGATCCGGTGCCCCAGATGTTATGCCGCAGTTTCGCATTGCATCGACCACGGTTAAAACGCACGAATTCCCTACACCAGACGTCGGAAAAATTGTTTTCTAATCTCCTTTCTTTTGTTGGCATTTCGCAGGATTTTGGCGCAATCTTCGCAGCAATTTGGCATGGTATGGACCACGAATAAACCGTCTCGTAGCAAGCGTGGAATTTTGCATCAGAGACAACGACGTCCTTGTAGAAAATTTTACATTTCTGCAGACCGCACACTTAATGAGCATCCTCCTGCATACCGCACTTAATGGCAATTCTACAGTAGCGTCCTCGTAGCGACCCCCAAAAACACGTCTGATGACTTTACTGCAGAAGCTTTAAAAGGGCGTTTTGAATGGGCACAGAACAAAAGTCTAGAAAACTGACATTGAGCTGCTTCTTCCTTCCACAGTATTGTTCCACCGGAAACGATACTACATGCTACACGCTCTGGTGGTTTTTCATGTAATTGGCACAGATTCTTCGATCTTTTAACAAAGAAAAGCGAAATTAGATACTACACGCGCGCTGTGGAAAAAAACAATGTAACGTATCCGTGGATCATTGGCGCTAAGTTCAAGTACTGTGCGACGTGAGTCTATTGCCAGCAAGTATTGTGTGCCGTTACAGGAGGGTGTGAGCCTGGTGGACTCTGACGGAGAGGACATGCCTGTAGCACCAGAAACCATATATACTGCATCTATCTGCATGTTTGTTCGCAACCTTGCACTGAGAGGCACCGCCAGATGTTGACATCCATCGGAAGCCTGTCACCCACTGACTCTTGGAGCGCAAGCCCTTTGTGAGAGAGCTTCGCCGGACATCTACGTGTCAATGCCAACATCCGGCACTTCTGATTCCGGAGAGCGGCTGTTGTTGCCGTAGTCCCCAACACACGTGGCATGTTGTAAGCACGTTTCCGTTGAACCAGAGACGGCACTTGAGACGCGGTTCTCAGATGTTCCGTGTTAGGAGAAGGTGGGAGACTTTCATGCAGGGGTCTCTGTAGACAGTAAGAATGTCAGCGATGAAGAACCTCAAAAGCTTGTTTCTCCAAGCTGGCAATCAGATCCTGTGTCTGCCATCCAAGGCTGGGTCCAGGCGCTGCGCCGTCTTGTCTGCCAAAAAATGAATCCACACCCGAGATTCAGTGCATGTTGAAGACGTAGCCACCATGCCATGTAAGCATAGAAAGCAAGCAGGGGTATGCAGAGTTGAATGCAAACTCGGATCCGCGAGCTCACCAATCACTGCCGCTGCTTCCCTGCAGTGTCTGGGTCTGCCGTTCCTGCCGGTTCTGCAGTACATCGCCTTCTTGAATCACGTTGCTTGGCCAGTTCAGTGGAGACATGCGTCCACGACTCTTGATCTTATGGTTTCCTGCCCAAGATCAGCTGAACTTCATGTCCACACGGGGTCCGTCCCTTTCAGAACCTCAGAGATTGATCCTCGACAGCTGCTCAGTCTTCATGCTCGGTTTGTTGCAAGAACTGCGCGCACACGAGAGGGCTTTTTCAACTTATCATGTCTGCATCTATCTCAGCTTGACAGGTATGTCTCGAGGATGCAGGCAGGATCAAGCAATACAACTGTAGCTGAAGAGGGCAGCAACTAGGACACCGGAAGCTGGCTCACCAACAACAGTAGACGCCGGCCCGTAAGCAAGAAGGGTTCATGAACACTGGCGGCCAGCACTTTGAGACTAACTGGCCGAGTTTTGCATTCGGGGGAGTCATTCTGGGAAAGTGTGGCCGGCTGTGAGCAGGTTAGCGGTTAGCATGGCGTTGGCCTTGCAATCTTTTTGTGCTGGAAAGTGAATCTCGTGGGCGCACAGGCACTCCTTTCCCATGCGGGACGTATCCATGTGCAGGAAGCATGCTTGTCCTGTTCTGTCTACCCTCCTGCCGCAGATGCCTCAGTCGCGCGCTGCAGCTACTGAGGATGAGGTTGTGACGGACTGGCACGCGTGACTCTGGATGCTTTCGGCCCAGCATTGTCGAGGCAGAGCTCGATTTCTGCAGGTCTGGGTTTTCTTCGAAGCCGCGGCGGTGCAAGTTATTGCTTGCGTAATCCTTGATTTGAACTGCGGGTACACGATGCAAGATGATGTATCGTCAGAGCCCACCAGTAGTCGTGTACAGAGTCGGTTTTCAAGCTCTGGGCCTGGATTGTACAGCTTCCATCGGCTGCCTTGACGGTCCCCTGAGGATCTTGCCGGCAGAGAGTTCCGCAAAGGCATTTGAAGAGACTGCTTCAGGGGCTCCTCTGCATTGGCCGTCTCTATCAGGGATCGGCCTTGCCCTGTGCGGCCATGCATGTCAGCCAGGACTCTGTGGAAAGGTAGCGATGATCAGTCCCCTGCCTTTTCGGCAGAGGGTTTATTTTCAGGCCCAACAGGACATCATAGAGTCATGATAGATACCGGTGATGGCTGGGTTTCGGTGAAGTACATCTCTTGATGATCTTCGTCGAAGCCCAGGCACCTGGTTCAGTTGGACAAAGCTCTAGCAGCTCTAGCAGCGAAGAAAGACGGCCATGGCCAGTCTTGGGCCGGAGACGCCACAGTTTTCAGGGCCCCAACTCTTCCACTGCTCCAGGCGCACCCCTCGCTCTTTAATCCCGGCGTTCGCGAGAAGGCCAGCTGCTCAGGACTGAGGGAAACTGCAGTCAGATGTTCCGTGCAGCCTTGGAGGCCTTGAAGCGTTCCCTCGCGCGAGCTTGAAACTGAGGACGCTTGGATCTGAGACTCGAGTGCTAGCGGCTGGGCGGCGAAGCCGAGGCGCTTGGGGAGGCGCGAAACCAAGCGAGCCAGAGCCGTCTTACTGCGGCCGCACCACTTGCGGAGGCCGGCCATGGGCCACAGAGCATCGCAGAGCTCGGGGTACCCCGGGTCGTTTTTGGGGCATTCAGGGAGTAGTCCACCGGCTTTCGAGTGGCTTTCGAGTGGACCAGGACACATCTGAACCGTCTCAGGTTGCCCAAGTGGCCGCTGGCTCAGCGCTGGTGTTCCTTCGGAGGCCAGTCACTCTGGGCCTTGGAGCATGTTTCGAACTTATGACCGGAGTCTCTGAGATGCAGGCTCTTGTTCGGGCAGAGTTTGGAGGAAAGGATGCAGTGATGCTTGCAGGCCCGACTCCCTCTTCCTAGAAGTCCCCATGCTGGAGGACGATGTCTTTCTCCGTGCACAGAGCTGATGTGCCCTTGGACAGCATCTCCTGAATGGTGCAGGAGGCCCTTGAACCTGACATGGAACCGCCGGCAGCCAACCCAAGCGATGAGCAGGTGTGAAGCTGTAGTCCGGCATTCACGTCTGGGCGAGAAGTTAGTATCGATTCGCCTGCACTATCTTCTATGACACCCTATCCCAGCCTGATGAGCCACGTGAAGAACAGGAACCCTGCCCATAAATTCGCAGAGCATCATAGTGCGTTCAGCAGTGATGTGTTTTGATCGCCATGACCAGCAGGGCGACATCTTCGCCTCGCTACCGGTGGCAACTGCCTGAGCTACCGGGCATTTAAGCGTGTGAGAGAAAAAGCGCTCCTGCAGATTTTGCAGTGGAAATGCCATGAGGCGAAAGCCCAGCCACTGGAAGGTGGCACAGCTGGCAATGCTGTCAAGGCAGCTTCACTTAAGCCGAGCAGACCACAAAGCAGTGCAGCGAGCTTTGTGGGGCTCTGGTTGCAATGACTCGCTCGGCCTTCGTTTCTGTAGGACGTGCTCCTCCGCTGTCTGCCGGCCTTCCGTCTGGGTGTCACTGCCGAGACTCTGAGCCACATCCTTCGGCTTTCGGAGGCCTTGTGTTCTGTGCCGGCACCACTGGGTCACTGTCCACGAAGCCTTGAAGGTTGCAGGTCCAGGGTGGGTGCTTCCGGGGTCGTTCTTAGGCTGGGGACATTTCGCGACAGTACAGCATCTCTTGTAGAGGTACGTGCAGTTCATGCAGCAGCTCAGTCGGTGAACCGATAAAAGGCCAAGTCGTCTAGTGACCTCTGGGTGGTCGCGGATGCCCACCTACAGAACCCAAAGTCAACAGAACTCGACCCAAATGGCCAGTTGTGTTGATGATGACAATGCAGTTGTTAGGAGCTCTGACGCAGTCACTTGGACATCAATTGGGCTCAAGGAAGAAGGGACACTGCAAGCTGTGTTCTTCCTCGTCTACGTGCATCTGTTGTACCTAACTGGTTAACAGCCTCAAGCTACATGGTCGCTTTGGTAGGACAAAAAGCTTCTCGCGGCCATAGTGCCCCATCCATATTTCCATATCTGCACACCTGCCTCGAGGTTGTGCTTGAAATTGCGATACAGGTGCAAAAGAGCCTGCCTCAATCATAACCTGCACTGATCTAGTAAAGAGCCAGAGCCAGGCTCGACATCCTCCCTGTCACCGTCGGCTTGTTCTACAGGACACTCCATATTCCGAGCTCTTCGCCTCTGTATGCAAACAAACGAATGCGCATCCTGCTGCCACTGCCTGTGGTCTTGACTTGTAGCCAGAAACGAGAGAAGGCTACGTCTTCGCATCAGGTGGGAAAGGTTTCTGCGAACGGTTCTGATAAGGTGGTTCCGATCTGAGGCTGACCTTCTTCAACTGCGCAGGTTACGGTGATACTTCCGGCCTTGGTTCGTGGAAGATCATATCTCAGTAAGGTCTTTTAGCTAAGCCCGGCCAAACCTATCCCGAACAAACACCCATATCCTCTTGGCACTTAGCCTGCAACGACGGGTGGGTCGATCTGGTGGTTGTTCAATAGGCTGGGCTAAGGACGCTGTTTCGGAAAGGACAGCAGCTTCGTCTTGCGAGACTAAAGTTTCCAAAGGTTTCCTCGATTCCGGGTGTTCGGTTGAGTTCCTTCTCGGTTGACTCCCGGACCTCCCACAACCGCAAACAGCATTGGACAAAGTCCTCGAGAGAATTACCTCGGTTCAAAGCATTCGTAAATCGCTGGCAAGCCACACTTCCCGCTCCGTACGCCGTACGGCTCAGATCGCCGATTCGGGAATCGGGTTTCCGCGAGGCTAGCCATCAGTGCCTAGGCCTAGATCTGCAGCTAGCCACCAGTGCCTTGGCTTGGATCTCTGCTTGCCTAGCCACCGGTGCCTAGGCTTAGATCTCCTCTAGGCTAGCCACCAGTGCCTAGGCCTTTGGGTGAAGATCGGGTTTGATACTTCGCCGATTTGCCCTTGTTCTTGTGCCACATCCCGAAAGACAAGCTTGGTCTCACCTGCTTTGTTCGCCGCTGCGTGCCCATGTGGCAAGACTTTCTATCTGCCTGGTGGCGTATTGACTTTGCTGAAGGCTTCAGTGAAACAGGATCAGCGAGGGCCAGGCAGGCTTGGCCCGGGACCTCTGACTACAGGCGGCGAAAGGTTGCTTTGGGGGCTACATTCGGGCGCTGGTTCAGCTCACGCTAGCTCAGGAGGGACCTGGTCTGAGGCTCTTTAAGGATCAGGGAGGCTGAATTGGAAGGGTCACAGGATCTTGAAAAGAGCCTCGCAGAATCTTTTGCCCAAGATCTCTTGTTCGAGCTTAAGGCTCTTTATCCCTCTGAGGGCCAGCGGAGCCTATCGCCTCCGCCTCGCCTCTCGACGGCACAGGAAGGTTTAGTAGCTAAGTGGGGATAGGACTGCTGATGCCGCAGGTTGTTTAGCAAGTGGAAGATCCCTGCCTCCTCAACCCCCCCCTCTGGGTCCGTCGCGTGCACTCCGGCCGATACGCCATATCCTCCTCCTGGGCCGCCATTGCCAAAAGCCAACGTGCAGTCCAAAGCTCGCCCGAAAGGAGGCGCGATCTGCATCTTCATTTCCTCTGACCGTTGAGGAAGACCTGGAGTTGTTGGAAGAGCTGGAAATCGAGGTCGCGGCTAGCGACTCGTCGGAAGAGCCGGCGGAGACGCGTCGAGCATTTCTTGCGTTGGACATTCACGGGGTCATTGATCTTTGATACTTCGACGCGCGTCATTTGCTTAGCGAGCTGCAGACCCATCTCCCGCCGGGGGTGTATTTGAAAGCTCTTGTCTTATCCTACAGCCAAAGCTGGACATATACATCTGCAGAAGGCCGACTGGCGAAGGGGGGAAGGGAGGCTTAGGACTGGCACAGACGTGACCGAGGATTGACTCCGCCATCTATTGCCCGGGTTGACGACAGGAGCGATATCACTCGCGAAGTCTGCTCTGCGGGATTCACTTTCAGCCCTCACCGGGCGTGGCGCTGTCATCGCTTCGGCCAGCCATTACGGAGTGGCTGGCAAGACTGTGAAACAGCACAGCGGGTATTGATCGAGAGGGTCTTCCCTAGTTCAGAGTCGTGACTGCTTCGGGCCCATCTGCGTCCTTAACCTGTGCCCCATCTTTGCTCGTCCCGAGTCTTTCGTTGCGCCGCTATGGGCGACCGTGGAATCCACAACATCCATATCTTCCGAATACCAACACATCTCGACGAAATCGAAGAAACTGGCCCTCATTCCTCCCCTAGCATATGGATGCGAGGTTGCGAAGGTCTACCTGCCTGCAGTCTGTCGCCCCCAATCGGCTGCACATGGGCAGCAAAGTAAGTCGAATTACGCCCGCGGCATGCTCAATGCTGGACACTGAACGGCCTGCACAGGTACGCACAACCATGGTTGGACCCGTTACCTGAAGTGATCATACTGTCGTACGGCACACAGGCCAATGAGACCATCACAGCACTCCGAGCTAGGAATCAGGAGCTGGAGGAACAACAGCAGGAGATGGCCGACATGCAAAGCATGAAAGCTCAACATCAATCCCAAACCGGCAGCTCCCACATCCACGCTGCCACGATGTCGCGGGCCGCAGGGGCGAAGGACCAAAATGGCGCGGATATCAGCGAAGCCCTCAATGAAACTTGCGACTAGTGTAGGAGAAATAATGCGGGAGTTGAGGATATTGTTAGTCCTAAGTTTCAGGCTGCCAAGCCCAAGAAGAAAGGTAGGTCGAAGCGCAGTGCCCCGCGGATCCCAGAAAAGCAAGCCCTCAGGCTCCGGTGTCCCCGAAGAAAGGCAAGGCTACAGGTACACCGTCACACGCGAGCCGGTTTGCGGGATTGCCGCTGCTTCTGCACCGAATCCTTATGGGTTTAGCTGCGCACCAAGGTTGCCTGTTTTCACGGGGGACGAAGGGTGCACCGGTGATTCCATTGTTCTCAACACCCAAGCCTCCTCCAAGTAGCCACTCTCCTGCCCCGCCAGATGTCTTTGATATCGGTTCAAACCGTGAAGAAGGAGAGGAGGGGGAGGAGGTGAGGATCCCGAAGATGATGGTTAGGAAGAAGCCACGTATCACATCAAAGACCTCCGCGAACAGAAGCTCCTGGTTTCACCGACTTCAGCTGCCGGGTTTAGGTCATGGAAGAACGGGGTCCTGACCCAATTCGGAAGCATTGATAAGTCAGGCGAGGCACGCATTCTGAGGTGATATTACAAGCCGCACTTGATCCCAACCTCACTGATGCAGTGCTAGCCGCTAGCAAGCATGCAGCACAATTCACAAGGACTGCCGAGGCTACACGCCTGCCTCGCGGCTCAGTGACTGACCCAAAACACCTCAGCGGGGAATCCGGAGTTACCGCGCAGGCCTTTGTTGAAAGGGCTCACCTGCTTGGGGTCTGCCTTCAGGGCGGGTCTTTATCGCAATGCTGAATAGAAGGTTCAGAGTCGACAAAATCAGGGGGCAACGGTTTCTCAACGCTCCTGTCGATTCAGCTCGAGGGCTTTGGCCAACAGCATCTACACCCATTCCGTGTTTTGCCTCAATGGATTTAGGTCCAGATGCTTGTCCAGTCGAGACCACGATGTTTTCGTGCTGTATGCCAAGCTGAATCATAGGCGATTGCTTTCGAGAGCAATTAACAAAGGATTGGATTCGAGCCCGGCGAGCAACAGCATTCAACTGGTTGTGGATTCAGTTTGTTGAGCTCCTTGATGAGCTTCGGGAAGAGGCCAAAGAATCGGGATGCATTGTTGCGGCCCCGAAAGCAGAGACACTCGATGTCCGCTAGAACGGCGACGCATGGGGAACCATGTTGTGCAGTCCTGCCCTCTTCAATCCACGTGCTCGTCGTCACTGCGCGGCGCTGTCCGAAGGCATGCCACTCAACAGGTTCGTAGTCATTGCATACTTGGTTCGGCATCATGAGCGCTTGAGTCCGCCTGATCTTGCAACACTGCTTCAGCTGGGATTCAAGCTTCCCATAATGAGATAAGCACGCTCAGAATCCTACACTGGGGAGCTAACAGAGTTCGACCCAAATGGCCAATTATGTTAGCAGCTCTGACGCAGTCACTTGGACATCAGTTTGGCTCAAAGAAAAAGGGACACTGCAAGCTGTGTTCTTCCTTTTCTAGGTGCATTTGTTGCACTTAGCTCCCAAGACTCATCTCGCCAAAATCAGCTAAGTTCACTTACCGAGTTTCTGCCCCCAGGGCAATACTCAGGTGCCGATACAGATCCTCCTATTCCCCAGCAGCGATCTCTTGCGTTTACAGGGGATCTATGATATTTTGGGCATTTTGTGCCCCCAGTTCAGACCAATGAAGTACTGCAATTGGTGTCACACGGCTCTAGAGAGACGAGTATTTTATGATTTCACAGAGGGCAAAACTTAATAATTCTATATCGGACTTGCAAAGGGGGCTTCATGCACATCTGCAGTGCAAGGGTCGACTTGAACAGGCTGCTTTGTCCGTCCAGTGTTGCTGTGATTCCAAAATCGAAGGTTTGCCAGAGCAGTGTTCACAGTGGTTTTTGGGTGAACGTGACTGTTTGATGTTACCGTACTGCTGTAGCACCACGACGGCTACCTTCGTAGGCATGACCTGGCCGCAGTGTTCCGCCGCATGCCAGCTCCCTACATGCGAGGCACCGGCTTTTTTCACGATGAGCCGGGGTCTCAGATGCCATAGCACGGCTTCGTGGCTCTTTAGGTCGGTCAACCCGCCGGACCGAGGCCACAAAGAAAAAGCCTTCGAGGTGCGGGCGTTGTCCCTGCGGTCGAAGTATGTCAAAGCAAGCTAGGCAAGCTAGACTGTGTTTGGAAGCCGGAGGTTTCTGTTCAGTCCATTGCAGACACGATTGTTGCAGAATGGCCGCTGCCCCGGGAATCTGCATTGCGGCAGTTGTCACTTTTCCTGTGCGTCGTCTGGCTTTGCGTGGCCAAGGCTCAAGCAGCCTGACAGCCCCTTGCTGCGTGCGTCGTGCGTAGGCCCGGAGTGTTAAGACTTGTGAAGCGGAAGGTGACCAGGCTTCAACGACAGCGGGCAGAGAGGGGGCATCTTCGGGGACGAGTGCATGTCTTGCATATCCGGCCATGTCGAACCTCTCCCCTTCTTGCAGTTGCTTGCTTTGAGGGCAGAGTGTCGCATGTTTGTCATTCAGTGGCGTTTTCAAATCCTGATCTCTCGGTGGCTTGTCTAAAACTGCCTGCGCGAGGCTTGGGATGCGCTATGGACATCGATCACGATGACAAGGGCATCGTCATCGCGATTGTCGTCTGAGCCACGACCCGGTTGCGAAAAGGGCGGAAACGGTCCAAGGTGTCTGCCTTCTGGGGATCGTCTTCTTGCCTTAACCCACTTTTGTCCCTGCCCCTCATCTCATCTCCTCTCCGGCAGCAGCCATCATTACTGTCGTGTTTGGCCTTTGTCTGCCTATGTGTTGCGTCTGCACGTGTCTGGCCCAAACCAGTGCCTTCCAAACAATGGCAGCGGACTGTGCCACGGCCCCAGCCAAAGTGTGGCGAAGGATCGTGCAAAGCGTGGTCCGGCGTTGAGGTCCTGCCTGGACCCAAGAGCCCGGACCTTGGCTGCCGGGTCCGCAGCATGCCCTTCTGCGCTGGATTTGCTTTGCAACGAGGTGCTGTCTTTAGATGGCTTTAGTGTACCGGCCCTGTGGATCGAGGCATGGCATGTTTCGTCGTGCCTTCTGCTTGGCAGTCTGTGCAGGCGGCCGCAGCACGGGGTAGGGCGTGATCTGTCTCTTCCCAGCATGCTTGGAGCATCTCCTTATAGCCGCAGAGAAGTTTGCGGAGGACCCGCGACAAGCGGGTTTATGTTCACGCAGGGAGCCCAGCGCCGCACCATTTCGCACCGTGTGCGGCATTAAGCCGGTGCCGGGAACGCAGAGAGGAGGCTCAGGCAAATCTG